CCCCAAAACCCCAAAACCCCAAAACCCCAAAACCCCAAAACCCCATGAATAAAAAAGTAGAGCAATTTAGTATAATCTACAGCATATAATAATCATTCATAACTTAGTCAAATCTTATTTCAATTTAGGCTGAATTTAGTATTCAATTCAATTGCCTCTGGCTAATAATATTTTCATTCCTGAGTTCTTAATTCTGATTCCTCGTCAATCTTAGAGAGGACTGATCGTATTTGAGCTGCTAACTGCTCTTCTAGTTTCATCTGAGTTTCCTCATCAAGATCTAAATTTAATTTAATGAATGAAAATAATTACTGTGTATTTCACAGAATCTCATTGCAAGTTCCTAAGCGGAATCTCCTTCAAAGACCACAATTCTCTCTGAGCTTTCCTCACCTAAGTTGATGTCTATGAATAATAAAGGCTATTCTTCTTTCTTTATTTCTTGAGTCTTTTGTTGATTTTGAATTTTCTAATTCACAAGTTGTTGTTGTTATTACTGTTGCAACTATTGATGATTTTGCTTTGCTTGCCTAAGAGTTTCTTAGTCAGAATATCTATATTACTTTGCAGGAGTAGCAATAGAGCTGTTCTCAACTATTTGCTAGTTAGAACTAGGATTAAAGGCATTCAGATTCTTGCTTTTGCTATTTGACACTTGAGGTCTATTCTGAATTTGCTATTGTTATTGCTGGACCCCTCTTGTGCTGTTGATGCTACCTCTTTAACTCATCGGCTGATTGAAATCATTTGAGGTTCTTGAGTATGAATTTGCATTAGTCATAGTTGAAGGTCTTTTCTAATTGTATTAACTTGCGTTATTCTATCTTGATTAAGATTCATTGAGAATGATTCCTCTCTCAGTGAATTTCTTGACTCTTTCTCTTTCCTCTCTTGCCTTTCTCTTCCTCTCAATGTCCTTCTATATGTACTTGTCGTCAACAATTGGTCTTTCATGCTGTGTCGGAGGTAAGCACTCTGATTAGTTGTTAATTTTGTGAACATTAGGAACGAATGAGCACTCTTCCTTCTACTTTTCATATTCTATTTCTTCTGTAGTCTTATCCTACTTATGCATTCTCTTTTAGTTTTTAGCTAAGTTGTAAAGTTCATTGAATCTGTCTGTGCTCTAGCCATCTCTCAGTCTTGTTTAACTAGTAATTTGACTATGGCCTTGTCTCTTATTTGCACTTAGTATAGATCTTTAGTTTGAGGATTCTCCTTACACTAAATTTGGCTTAAAAGTGCATTCCTTAAGTTCCTCCTATTCTAGCACTTACTTGGCATTTTACCTCCATTCATCTTTATTTCCCTAAGCAGACAACCATTCAAATGTCTAAATGCTATCTTGATTGGTTTATTCAGCAATTTTTTATCTATATTAGCTTGCGATTACCTCTGTTTTCTTAGAGATCTAGGGCTTGAAACTATGATCATGCCTCTGATTATTCCTTTTCTCTTATTAAAGTCTTCCAAGATGCTGAATTCTGTTGACATTTAATAAGTCGAACTGTCTGTAAATGATTGAAATATCCTCAGATCTTAAACAAAACTAACCCTTCTTATTGAAAAAACCTACTGCATTCTAATCTATATTCTAAGACTCCTCTTCATCTGGGACTACATTTATTCTCTTATACTCAGTGATTTTGGCAATTGACATCATCAAAGTCCTAAGATCATCAATTAGGACATAATCTCTTTGATCTCCCTCTAATATTCTCCAAATATCGTAAAGTAACACTCTCTCGTTTGAGTCTGAATTAGCAGCTGATTCAGTGCAGAAACCCATTATTACTAACAGCTACTTCATATTCAGATAGTTTATCTCTTTTAAAACGAATTCCGTTTGAAATAAGTCATTCAAAGCTTGTTGGAACTCCCTCTAGAACTTTTATATTACAAGCTTTTAAGATTCCTTATTTACTTGCTTTTCATGCTGCTTGTAAATTTCCTTTTCTTTTTACTAAAGCTTTGCTTTTCTTCTGAATGCTTCTTCATAGAGTACATCTTAAACTGGCCTATCTCTCTACATATTTTGAGATTTCTTAGTAATCGAAGGCTGGAAGGAATACTCATTAGCTTTACTTGCTGAACTATTGAGCTTATTACCAAATCCTGTGCTACCAAATCTAGTAATACTACCGTTTTCCTTGTTTCTGTGATTAATTTATTATCTAGCAGAGTCCATGAATTATTAAGGTTCTTCTCTTTATTGTGAGGTTTATCTAATTTACCTCTACTCAAGCATTCTTTTAGATTTTTCATTGACATATGTTGATTTAATAGTTTAAGACATTTATGACTTTGCATTTTCCTCTAATCTTTCTTGCTATTTTTATTTTTTTAGCTCTTCAAACCTTTTTTGATCTTATAAGAATTGATCAAGGTTTCTTGGCTGAGGTGCTTCATTTCTCTTTCTAGTCATTATTTATGGTGTGAATATGCACTCTTCAATTTCTTTAGATTCTTTCTCTTCCTTCAACAAGTGTATTTTTTGTCTCTTTTTATCTTCGAACTGGATTACCTTTTATTGGATGTCCTCTACTCTTAACTTTTAGCTTTATTACATTTTCTTTAAATCATCTTGTGGAATCAGTAAATGAGCTCCCTCTTCTTTTCCCAATTTTTCTACTAACTACAATAAAATATTAAAACAATTCATTTATTGAAGGGATGAAGTTTACTCTCTGATAAGCTTTTCTAAAGTCCTATTCGTTTTCTGGGTCAACTTTAGTTTCAGAGGTGAATTCTTAATTTTCCTGATTATATGGAGTGGTTTTGCTATTACTTGCAAAGTTAGAATCTATATTCTCGTTAAATTACTAATCTGGGTAAATTACCATATTTTTTGGTTTAGCTATTTTGCCTCTGGTAATAGCCCTGACTGCTGCTGCTAGGAGTTGCAAATTGTCTACTATTAGTTGTGTCCTTTAACACTTATTAGCTTTGCTAAGATTGATAGTAGCTGTTGCCAGTATTTTTGCTGCTTGCTGAATTTTGAGGTTTTTGATTACTATTATACTGACTTTGCTCCTTTTTTTGGTTTTTGCTATCACTGACAATCATCATCTCATCAACGTCCTCACAGTCTTCATCAGTGATATCACTGACATCATTTTTTTTAGGAGAGCTTGAGTAGTGAATGTTTGAAAAGGTTGGCGAAAATTATTGGTTGTACATTTTTATAAACGAATTTTTCAGTTGATTTTTAATTAATAAAGCTGACTTATCGACAAAAATTACTAATAAATTTATCCATAGGGGTTTTGGGGTTTTGGGGTTTTGGGG